AGATGAGAGTGAAATGCTCCAAACATATAATGCAGTGATTGAGAGCTGAAGAAATAAAGGCTCCTCAGAAGATGTGAGATGTTCTGGAGGCTTGTGAAGATCATTCCTCCGCTGAGGAACAGTGAAAGTAAAGCTTCTGGAAACAAACGCTCCTCAAAAGATCCTGAGGATCAGATTTGAGACTCTAAAACATGATTGATGGAGAATCAAGTAAAGCTGAGCTGCTTCAGTCCAGTAAGTGTTCATCTGGAGATATTACTGCAGTTATTCTGACGCTTACTTGATCAAAATCAGTCAAGATTTGACACGAGAAGCAGCAGCTGAAGCTGGACGTTTGCATGTTTTTAGAGCTGAAGTGTGTTGACTGTTGAGGGCACTTACACATTTTCTGCTGCAGGTTGTTGGTCTCAAACACTCGCTGGTAGACGAGCGCTTGTTCAGCCGGGTCGTCTGGGATCAGACGGGTGCCTTGAGACTTAAACGCGCTCTAGAAACCAAAAACACACCCATTATACCACAGGAACCAGTTGAGTCCTCTGCACAATCTGACTTTGCTGCAGCCTGAAATTGAACTGCTGGTTTCGTCTGGCCAGAGGAGAACTGGTCCCCTGACTGAGCCTGGTTTCTCCCAAGGTTTTTTCTTCATTCTTCGCTCATAGTTGGGGACACTTAATATCCAGCGATATCGTTGACTTGATTGCAAATGATTGCACAGATACTATTTAAACTGAACTGAGCTGGATGATGACATCACTGAATTCAATGATGAACTGTCTTTAACTGAAAATTGAGTGTTTACTATTGTCACTTTGCATTATTGACACTATTTTCCTAATTAATTGCTGTACAGCTGCTTTGACAATCTGTATAGTTAAAAGTGCTACATAAATAAAGGTGACTTGACTAGTCATCAGTCTGGGATCTGTAGTGTCTGGATCTATTACTTTACTACAAAAAAATCAATTATTATTACTACTCTTCCTTGATAAACATGTTTTTAGAGTCAATTTGATATTTTTCTTGGTGTTTAAAGTAAATAATGTGTATGTGTAACTGAACTGAACTAAGCTTTCCCACATCAAGCAATATAAACTTTAAAGATAACATCAGAACTGAGTCAGAATCTCAAATAAAGTAAAGACTGCGTTGGAAGATAAAAAAAATATAGTAATTTTTGTGATTTATAAATAAAGAGACCCCGTCTGCCTGCATTTGACATCTTCGCTTCTTTCGAGCAGTGACAGTCGCAAATCTTTAGCATTTTTTCCCCTTTATTCCAAGAAAATAAACAACTCAGAATTGTGAAATATAAACTGAAATTATGAGAAGAAAAGTCAGAATTTTCCTTTTTATTTTTTATTCCATGGCAGAAACAAAAAGTCAGAATTGCAATAATCGGCAATAAGGAAATAATCGCACATTTATTGAAAACGTCACAAGCCAATATTAATACGTGACCTAATTTGTATGGAGACATGTGCACTTCAAGACACTCTAGCTTTACTCTTCTCTAATGACGCAAATCAGCTGACACGCCACTCATCTGCTTTTCTAGTGATCGTTAATGTTTCTATAATACTACAGCATTTCAGTGCTACGTTAAAAAATACAAAAATCTAAGATTACAAGATTAAAGTCGTAGCAATACAAGAATAAAGTCTAAATATTTTGAGAATAAAGTCGCATTGAAATTTAAATAATTGTAACCCTCATCTCATATTTTTCTGTCTGTTCAGGGTCACTGTTATACATAAAGATGACGGGGAAAAATCAGTGATAAATTTGTCTCTGTTTCGTTTGTTTCAGCCACAGAATTAAAAAAAATTAAAATTTACAAAGTAGGCTAATTGTGATACTTTCTCAATTCTGACTTCTTTCTCACAATTCAGAAGCGTGGGGTATGAATTTTGAGATAGAAAAATCGCAATTACATTAATTATTTACAGGCTACCATAATATTAAGATGTAACAGAACGCCAATCATAACTAGACTAACTACAGGGTTGCCAACTCTCACGCATTTGGCGTGAGACACGCTTTTAGACTTAAAGCGTTCAAATTTTGTACGTTTCAATACTAAATTCAAACAAAACAAAAAAATGCAGTTTTGGCGGTGGCGTAAATCGTCAAATGTAGCGCTTCAGTTAAAGCCAGAGCCATTGAAAAACAGAGTTGCGACAAGTTTTGATCTCGGTCACATGATCCATAGAGCTCTCCAAACAAACCAGCGTTGACTATACATTTAAATGGGTTTAAGTGCAATAGACGACAGCTTCATTATACAGGCATTTGCAGCAATTTTTTTTTTTAAACTATTTTCAGTTAAATAAATGTTCTATATTTTAGGTCATATGATGCGATTTCAAGTTTTCCTTTCTCTTTGGAGTGTTACAAGCTGATTGTGCATAGATAAGATCCCTGAAGTTGCAAAGACTAAAGTCTCAAAACCAAAGAGATATTCTTTTTCAAAGTTAAGACTCTGCCACACCCTCCTAAAACGGCTCGTTCTAACACGCCCCCACATATCTACCTCACTATGTGGGAAGATTTGCATAACGCCACCTAAATGTTCACGCAAAGAAAGAAAGCGTAACTTTTATTCTCGCTGTAGTATTGTTGCTGCCGCTGCAGTCATGTCGTGGAGACGCTGTGTGTTTCGTTGTGAAAGTGAAACTACTTTGTTTGGTCTTCCAAAAGAGGACACGACTAGAAATCAGTGGTTAAGTTGTATTTACAACACTATTCCAGAACACTTCAACCCAAACATTCAGATGTGTGCAGCACATTTTATGGAGGACTGTTTCCTGAATTAAAGCTGCATACACAGTAAACGCCCAATGCAATCATAAGAAATCATAAAGAGCAGGAGCATGCAATGCATCTGAACGCACCTGAACTCTGGGATTGAGAGCTTTCACTTCTTCACACTTGTGTTCGTTCTTGTCAAAAGACAAATGTTTGTGTTTGTATCCCTGCAGCTGCTTCTCCTCCAGCGCGATCATGACTCTCCAGCACGGCGGAGAACCGGAGCCCCAGTACAGCAGCATGCTCTGCGCCATGACCGCTAATAACGCGTTTAATTAAGAAAAAAGAGTGTTAATGCGCGCTGCTGCTGTGCTTAAGACCACAGATTGTGCTGCGTCACACTGACTCTGACGCACGCTCACTGAGGGGCGGGGCCTCGCCATCTGCCGGCCAGAAATAGAACTGCGGCTCGTGTTTTGAAATGAAATTTTTTTTTTTTGAGTGTTTAGTTTTTGTTTTTGTTTTTTTGCAATTGAAAGAATAACAACAGTTATGAAGTAACACGGGGCTAACGGACATCACATGAAGTTAGATAAGCTACACAAATTAACAAAATATACTTTATTTTATTTTATTTATTTATTTAGTCATTTAGCAGACACTTTTATCCAAAGCGACTTACAAATGAGGACAATAAAAGCAGTCAAAACTAACAAAAGAGCAACAATATAAGTGCAAATGACAAGTCTCGGTTAGCCCAACGCAGTACATGTAGCAAGGTGTATATATATATATATACATATACATACACACATACACACACATACACATACATACACACATATATATATATATATACACATATATACATACATATATATATATTATACACAAAAACACACAAAGAAGATAAATATAGATAAAGTAGAATTAAATTAGAATAGAGAGTGCAAGAGTTAGAGAGTCAAGTAAAAATGGAAGAGATGTGTTTTAGTGGTTTCTTGAAGATGGTTAAGGACTCAGCTGCTGGGATTGAGTTGGGCAGGTCATTCCACCAGGAGGGAACAGTTAATGTAAAAGTCTGTGAAAGTGATTTTGTGCTGCTTTGGGATGAACAATAATACGCCGTTCACTTGCAGAACGCAAGCTTCTAGAGGCACATAAGTCTGAAGTAATGAATTTAGGTAAAGTGGTGCAGAGCCAGTGGTGGTTTTGTAGGCAAATATTAATGCCTTGAATTTAATGCGAGCAGCTACTGGTAGCCAGTGCAAACTGATGAACAGAGGTGTGACGTGCATTCTTTTCGGCTCATTAAAGATTAATCTTGGATTAATTGTAGAGGTTTGATAGAAGTGGCTGGAAGACCTGCCAAGAGAGCATTGCAATAGTCCAGCCTGGACAGAACAAGAGCTTGAACAAGGAGTTGTGTTGATATATATACATATACCAATGATAAAGAAGAAGAAAAAAAAAGAAAGAAAGAAAGTCTTTTAAAGATAGCTTACAATAGACTCGAGAATGTTAAAAGTTTTAGAAGCCTTTGAGTTCAAAGTAAAAAGAAGTAAAAAGGGACTTTATATCAGATGAAAACACTCTAAAGTTAGGTTTGCAATGAATGGTTCTGGCTTTGTGAAGGTGAGATTTACCCAGAAGACAAAGCAATAACACTATATGTTCCAGATTAATGTCCTTGGAATGAAAATCTGACAAACAAATAATAGAATCTGTTATTTCTACCATTTTGTTACAGCAGGAAAAAATGAACATGGTAACTTCTGACCAAAAAGACAAAAAGAATAGATTCTTCATCAGTATTACAAAAATGAACACATTGAGGAAATATTCTCAGAGAATCTGCTCAAAAATAAATGACAAGGGTAAATCTATGAGCAATTCTGAAATGGAGTTCTTTGGGATAAATAGCCTGTGAGGAAAGGTCCATACGTTTTTTAATTCAGAGTTCGGATAACAAATCCTCCATTTAGATTGTGCTTCAGAGGGGCATCCTGGAGTTGAAGAAAGAGCATTTCTAATAAAAAAGTTATTGCATTTTTTATCTAATACATAAACACCATTAAATGCAAGTGTGGGAAAATGGTTGTTTACACAGCCATAACATAAATGCACTTTAAAATGAACGGGAACATGGATATATATATATATATACAGTATATACCCATCTGTGTGTGGTTTAATATGTAAAAGAAAAAGCGCAATCACACTGCGGTGTCTTGTAAAACCATGAAGGGGTTTATTTAGCAAAATTATAATGACCGTGTGACCGCATCGGTTATTTTTACTCATCAAATAAATACCTTGACATTAAATAACGTGTAAAAGTTGCTGCGGAAAAAAGGCTGCTTGGTTGGCCAAAGTTGAGGCCCTCAAATTGAAACATACATTGGAGAAACAAAAGGTTGAATTGCAAACAAAAATGGAAACTCTGGAAACTTGAAACGGATTTAGCTGCTACGGATGCACAATGAAAAGTCTTGGAGCTTTATGAAACACAGTCCAACGTGGAGTCTATGCAAAGCCATCGTGAAGCTCTTTATGTAAATGGTACAAAAACCAACATCTTATTGAAATCTATTTGCCAGGAGAAACCAGTAAAGGCTTACAGGTTAACTGGTCTGGAGGTGGGCAGTCTTAATGGCAATAGCTGAATAGAATTGCCGGAAGTTTTCACTCAAAGTTCAATTCCAGTGAGTCAAGAAAACATACCGAAGAAGGATGACATTAGAAGATGGCCTTATTTGAATGATGTGCATCTAGACTCCATTGAGGCTGAGGTGTATCTCTTGATAGGAGTGAATGTTCCTAAGGCAATGGAGCCTCTCAAGGTCATTAACAGCCAAGAGGACGAACCTTATGCAGTTCAAACATGCTTGGAATGGCTCATTAATGGTCCTTTGAGCAGTAGCTCTACTACGTATGGTAGTCAATCATATATCACTTCTAACAGAATCTCGGTAGTCAGACTAGAGGGTTTGTTGATTGATCAATACAATCAAGAGTTCTCAGAACGGACATACAGTGAAAAGAATGAACTCTCATTTCAGGATAAGCAATTTTTGTCCATTGCAAATGATTCTATTAAGATGCAAGATGGTCATTATGAGTTACGACTCCCTTTTAAAAGAGATAATGTTAGCCTGCCGAATAATAGAGAAGTCGCTGAGCAAAGAATTCTTAGCCTTCTTAGAAGATTCAGGAAGGATGAATCATTCTTAAGAGATTATAAGGTCTTCATGAATGATATCCTAAAGAAGGGATATGTGGAAAAGGTGCCTGACAAGCAGCTTCACAGAAGGGATGGAAGATTGTGGTATATCCCACACTATGGGATCTATCATAAGAGGAAAGGAAAGATCCGTGTGGTCTTTGATTGTACTTCTACCTTTCAGGGGACCTCTTTGAATTCTGAGCTATTGCAAGGGCCAGACCTTATGAATACACTTCTGGGTGTACTTCTCAGATTCCGTCAGGATACTATGGTGGTCATGGCGGATATTGAGGGAATGTTCCATCAGGTCAAAGTACCAAAAGAGGACAGAGATTTCCTGAGATTTTTGTGGTGGCCTGATGGGAACACGAATTATCCGTTATCAGATTATAGAATGACTGCACATCTCTTCGGGGCCGTTTCATCGCCGAGTTGTGCTAACTTCGCTCTTAAAAGGATTGCTGATGATAATGAAGGTAAAGCAAATGCTGAAGTGCTTAGTACAATTCGAAATCATTTTTATGTGGATGACTGCCTAAAATCTGTGCAGAATGAAAATTTGGCTGTGGATCTGGTACACGGACTTCGAACTACGTGTGCAACAGCTGGATTTAAGCTAACAAAATGGGTTAGCAGTAGTCGATCTGTTCTCGCTACTATTCCAGAGGAGGACCGAACCAAAGATATTGAGAAGGATAAATTGCCTATGGAAAGAGCGCTCGGCATACAATGGGACATGGAAACTGATGCTTTCTTCTTCAGAATCAGCCAGAACCCACATCATCTAATTAGCAGAAGAAACATCCTGTCAATAGTCAATTCGATTTATGACCCGTTTGGGATTTTAGCACCATTGACTCTTCCAGCTAGGGCAGTGCCTAAAACACCTTTGCAAAGATTTGTTCACAAGCCGCAAATAGAGGATGGAGACAATTTGGATCGGCCTTCTCACCCATGCAAGGTTCTCAGCAAGCAATCACCCGTGTAATACTCCTACCGCCTCCTATAGTCAACAGCAAAATCCCGCTATGTGTAAGGTATGAAATGTTTGAAGATTGTGAAGATTGCTGAAGTGGTGAATCTTTGATGCTATACAGAGATATGAAGAAGGAGGGAATGAACTGGGAGGAATAAGGATTACGGTTTCAAAATGGCTGATGAGTCTGAGGATGCCAGTATGGGTGATCAAAATGTGAAAATATTAGGTGCTTCACGCAGAGGGAAGCTTAGTTCATGCACTCGTGGAATGAATGATATAAGAGTTTTGATGGATGCAGACGAAAGCATTGGAACTGTGAAAGAGCGTTTGAAGGCGTTCAAAAGAGCTCTTAATGACTTTATAAAGGCAAATGAACTTGTGCAAAACTTGTTATCAGAGGATGTAAAAGAAATGGAACGCATTGATTGGTTTGAGCCAAGGATGGCCACTTTTAATGACTTTTTGCATGAGGTTGATGTATGGACGAGTGCTTGTAGAGATCCACAATTAAGTGTACAACCAGAAGACATCATTTCAAATGTGTCAAAGGACTCGGTGAAATCAAAAAGTAATAACGGTTCAAAGGTATCATCTAAGGCATCTTCTAAAATTTCCTCAACACGTGTTGGAGAGCGGTGTTGATCTCCGGCTTCAACTTTGGTGTCGTCTTATTGTTATTCCAATAAATAATGAAGTGAACGGAACACGTGTCGACTGTAATTCCTCGCACAAGGAAGGCCACCACATGTAATCGTAATAATAATACGAGTTTAAATTATTTCTGCTGATCTGCTCAAAACACATTCAAAACGTTAAGGTTTCCACTATTAACACGTACAAAACAATCGTCAGTAGCCTAACATAACCGATATTATTAATCCTACTAACCAGCTAACAATTTTTGGTTCCCAGAACGTTATTTTTTTATGTTTTGTTTTTGGTTAGCCAGGAAAGTTTTCTTAACGTTCCAAGAACATCAGTTTTTGGTTTGTAGAACGTTATTCTAATGTTATTCTAACGTTCCCACGGGAACGTTTTATATTTGCTGGGTAATCCGCACCCTAAAGCCTCGTTTAGTTTAGTTTTAATATGCTCCTGTACGGTCGTCATGATAGAGATCGACTAAAACAAGTTCCTCGGGACTTTTAATTCATAAGATCTAATTTCAGAGATTGCTGCTGCTGAATAACATAAAGATCGAGACGTTTCGACTAATGAAACATTGAGAAATATATACTGACGATAGTGATTATATGTTTTTTTCTCTGTTTTCATAAGAATAAAGTATATTCATAATGCAGTGCTAATCTACATTCACTGTATATAATATTAAAATTATATATTTTTTTTCTGGCTCATTCTGTAATAAATCACATCAGATTGCTTCAATCACTTGAAAACTAGTATGGAGCAAAAACATGATTTTAATCCAAGCGGTAACCTCCCGCTCGCTCTCATGAAGCCAACACGGAAGTGACTTAAACTGTAATTCATCGACTGGCCGCTAGAGGCGGGCTGCAAAAGAGAGTCAGTCCCATAGACTCCCCATGTTAAAATGCCCAACTTTACAGCAGAAAAAAACATGTTTACAGTCTGGTTCAAAACATGATTTTGGTCTATATAGCAAATTTTTCCCTTCATGACAACTGTGAGGGGGGTGAATTTTTTTATAACTCATCCATTTAAATTATATTAAGCTTAAAGTTCTGCATAATTAAGGGCGTGGCCACTTGAGTGACAGGTGGATTGCCGCTGCTGACACTGCCGTCGAGCTAGGTGGGCGTGGCTTCAGCAACCTGCTCCCGCCTCTTTGCCCATTTTCGATTATCCGGGAGTGACGCACGGTGACGTGCTGCCAAGATGGCGACGGCTGGGTCCGCCCACTTTTGAGCTTCAAAAAATCTCTTCGGAAACCTACTGGTGACGTCACGGACACTACGTCCATGTTTTTATACAGTCTATGGTTTAATCTCATAAATTGTCAGGTTTTGATGCTGTGCTAAGCTAACACGCTAACCCTCATGTAGCTACGCTTTATAGGAACAATTATGTTTTACTAATTTTGAAAAGTGAAGCTCATTGGAATTTTTATTTTTAAAGAGGTCCAGACATGGACTTTTTTTATTATTATTTTAACGTTCCACGAGGTTTACTTATAACGTTAAATAAAGTTTTTTTGCACGCCACTGCCTCGATTACGAAACAAAGTCCTCGGACACAATCCGGGATGCCGTTAAAAATAAGCTATCCACAGCTATCGCGTTTTTGGAGCTTGATTAAATAAATGCTTTGTTCATGAGAACGACGTTTTAAGCTATGAAACTTGCAGGATGTTTTAATGATATAAAGACCTCTTATATGCCAAAAGATCAAGACAAATTTGATTTCTCATCTCATGACCCCTTTAAAAACATTAGGTCACACCAACTAAATTAATGTGAAGGTTAAATCAAGTAGCAATAGCATTTTCAGCTTAATACTTTCTGATATTGTACCACAGATTTAGGTATTATTTTTGTCTCTGGTGGTCACCTTCTTTTGAGGCAGTGCCCCAGCACTACTATATTAGTGTCAATAAATATTTTTGATAATAAAAAAATGCTTTAAACCTTTTTATGATGGTTCTAGGGCCCCATGTAATTATGTTGCATGCCACTAGGGGTACGTGACGTCAACACGAAACGGCTTGGGATTTGTTTTAAAAATGACTCGTTTAAATAATTCAGAGTCGACTCTTTCTTTTGAGAGACAATTACTTCATAGACGGTGCACCTTCAGATTTAAAACTTTGCGGGATGTTTTCATTCACTTAGAGCTGTGTTACACACTGCATTAAAGGCAATTTTCAAAAATCCATCATAGGGGCACTTACAGTAGGTTGAACTTGTATAGTGCTCTTAATTTGAACCTGAACCTACTTCATAGACGGTGCACTTTCAGATTTAAAACTTTGCGGGATGTTTTCATTCACTTAGAGCTGTGTTACACACTGCATTAAAGGCAATTTTCAAAAATCCATCATAGGGGCACTTACAGTAGGTTGAACTTGTATAGTGCTCTTAATTTGAACCTGAACCGCATTTCTTTCTTTTTTGTTGTAATGATGGTAAATATGTTCTTTATTTTGCATGAGCAGGATAAAACTTAGTTAGTCCCAAAACAATAACAGCTGTTGACATTAATCATGACAGCCACAATAACAACAAGCTTTATCTTTAAAAATGAGTTCACACAAAGCGGCCCGCTGGGTTAAAGATAAATGATTGATGTTAATTATCAAACATCAGACAAACTGAAGCTGCTGCACTGTAAAGGAGACTGATCACAGTCAAGGGTTGTGATTTAATACAGTAAGTTGAACATAAAACTGAATTAAGTGGTGTTTGGGCAGTCCTGATGTTCTTCACAGGTTCTTGAACGTGTCTTCACCCTCGGGTTTCTCCAGCCACTCAAGAGGCCAGCTGGCTTTAATACTGGGACGGTCCTTTAGCATCTTGTAGTACTCCATCAGTCTGGGACAACGCTCCGGAGGACAGCTGAAACCAGATCAAACATTAAACCAGCCTCATGAACCTTCACCTGACAGCATCAATCATTAACCCTCATAATGCATTCAAGATCTGATACTGCTTTCAAACTCAAAGAATCATTATTTTATAAACCACTCATGACATAACGCATCTGACCAACAACTTTTCATTAATGAGAAGATAAAAAAAAAAGAAAAACGCTTTATATCCAGAGCGATTCACTCACTGAAGTCGCGGGAAAAACGCGATGACGGGGAAACAAACCACATCAGCCATAGTGAAGTTCTTGCCAGCGAGGTACGAGCCTTTACCCATCTATGAACAAACACTCATCGTTAGAGAAGCTCATTATCATGCCCTCAAATACAGTAACAGCATCTCCTCTACTAATGAAGAATTGCTGCAATCAACACGTGCATTCATAATCCATTACGCTGTTGTAACGCCATTCATTTCAGAAAGAAATTTAAAAGTCATGGAGGCCAAAGTTCAAGTTCTCCCTCCATAACTCTAATCATTTTATTGCATGAACTAATGATAAGACATTAGGTTGCAATTAATTGCAAGAGCCGCCTAAAACAATGACTATCATTACATTTAGATGAAAAGAATAACTGATGAATCATTCACAATGAGACCAGCAATCTGACATCATAAATGCATGATTTATACTATAAATAAATATCAATAAAATCTGACCTTCTCCAAGTATCCATCCCACAGTTTGAGCTCGGCGATTAAACTCTCTTTATTCCTCTTCAGAGCCGATTCATGCCTCTCTCCTTCAGGAACGTACCATTCGTAGAAAGCCACGTCATCTGAACAAAAAACAGTGCATATGTTCGATCCATCAGGCTTTTACGACTCGTATAGTCTGATACAGTGAGAATATGGAGAACAAAACAGCTCAGTTTTATTCAGAGACTCAAAAATATTTGTATATATGCTGATATTTATATGATGAAATTCTGATGCTTGTGATGTAAATTAATGAGATGTTTCTAACAGTAGAGCAGATACTGACATAAAATGATCTAAATATCTGACTGTTGAGGGCACTTACACATTTTCTGCTGCAGGTTGTTGGTCTCAAGCATTCGCTGGTAGACGAGCGCTTGTTCAGCCGGGTCGTCTGGGATCAGACGGCTGCCTTGAGACTTAAACGCGCTCTAGAAACCAAAAACACACCCATTATACCACAGGAACCAGTTGAGTCCTCTGCACAATCGGACTTTGCTGCAGCCTGAAATTGAATCGACGGCAGTGACAGCAGCGGCAATCCACCTGTCACTCAATTGAATTGAAACCAAATTGATTGGTTTCGTCTGGCCAGAGGAGAACTGGCCTCCCGACTGAGCCTGGTTTCTCCCAAGGTTTTTTCTTCATTCTTCGTTCATAGTTGGGTACACTTCATTTCCAGCGATATCGCTGACTTGATTGCGCAGATACTATTTAAACTTAACTGAGCTGGATGATGACATCTCTGAATTCAATGATGAACTGCCTTTAACTGAAAATTGAGTGTTTACTATACACTTTGCATTATTGACACACTATTTTCCTATATAAATAAAGGTGACTTGACTAGTCATCAGTCTGGGATCTGTAGTGTCTGGATCTATTACTTTATTACAAAAAAGCAATTATTGTTACAACTCTTCCTTGATAAACATGTTTTTAGAGTCACTTTGATATTTTTCTTGGTGTTTAAAGTAAATAATGTGTATGTGTAACTAAACTGAACTAAGCTTTCCCACATCAAGCAATATAAACTTTAAAGATAACATCAGAACTGAGTCAGAATCTCAAATAAAGTAAAGACTGCTTTGGAAGATAAAAATAGTATCTACTCTGAACTAGAAAAAAAATGTATTTGATGATAAAAATATTGGAAACTAGTACTAGTAAGTTATTATTTGTCACTGATCCCAGTTTGATAGACAATACTTCTTTTATTTCCACTATAATCCACTGGGTTGTTATTTATGGAAACTTGTTTCTGACATGGATTTTAAAAAATGAAAAAGGTAATTGCGACTTTTTCCTCTCACAATTATGACTTTTTTCTCACAATTCTGAGTTTATATTTCACAAATCTGAATTGTGTGCAAAAAAAAAAAGAATTAAAATCGTCAAACTTCCCAGTGCCCTGTTGGTTACAGTGTTTACTTCCTTTTTAATTATATTTTTATTAAATATATATTATTTAATTATATATTTTTTAAAGGTATCTTGGAGAGGTGAGGTGAGAAGTCGCAACATCTAGATACTGGGGTGCCTCAGGGCTCAGTTCTTGGACCACTTCTCTTCTCTGTCTACATGGCATCACTAGGTTCTGTCATTCAGATTCTTTCCCTTTTAGACTTGCACTCTATTCATTTACTAACTGCTTGTTTTCTTTAATAAATAAAAAAACTAACACTAGCTTCTCTAATCTATTTGTATTCTTTTTATTTATTATACAATTAACAAAAGCAAAAAAGGCCTCTAACACTAGCTTGCTATATTCTTTTTCTATTCTATCCATTTTCTTTTTATTATATAATTAAAAAAACTTGCTGCGTGTACTGCGTTAAGCTAACCAAGACTTGTTATAGCGCTTGCGTATCATTGCTCTTTTGTTGATTTTAATTGCTTCTATTGTCCTCATTTGTAAGTCGCTTTGGATAAAAGCATCTGCTTAATAACTAAATGTAATGTAAATATTTATTTAATTGTGAAAAATACTTTGTCATCTAAAGTATGTTTATTTCACACATGTATTTGATTCTGGGTTTATATCTCGAGATTCTGAGTTTATATCGCGCTTCTACATTAATATCTCGCAATTCTGAGTTGATATCTTGCTAGAGATGGGCAATATCCTATCGTTTGCGATATACCGGTAAAAATTCTCCTCACGGTAAGAATTAGTCTTCCCGCGATAATAACGACAAAGTCTAGTTGTTGACATATTTCTGTGTGCAACAGTGGGGAGCAACATCGTGAAAGGCGGACGTGAAATTGAGGAGGCGTTTATCACTAAATGAGGAGCTCCTTCTACAATCTGGAACTGGTTTGGTCAGGGCTGTACAGTGCACAAAAAATCGATCTGAATAAATGTAGTACAGTAGCACGTGTGCAATACAGTTTGCATGTGTATGAGCCTGTTCACAAACTTGTTGTCCAAAGATATCATTTATTGACATGCTTTTTCTCCAAATTAACTTAATATCATAGTTGAGTGTTTGAAAAAACATCTTTTTGTGGTTTCATATTACAGAATGATAGTATAATATACAGTGATAAAGACTATGTCGATTAGCATTGCATAGTAAATATAATTTCCTTATAAAAATACCCAAGATTGCTTGAAGAACACAGATAAACCATATATTTTGTGCAATCGTATGTTCATTGTCTTCATGTTTTATCAGTTAAAATTTCTCTATCTCCGTTGTGTGTTTTATTCAGCAATAACTGGATACTTTGTCCATATCAGGGATTTCCTGGAGCGTCGTCAGTGCTATTACTTCTGCGATGCATGTGTGGAGTTTCTGCGCAAGAGCGCGCTCCGACTTCCAGTATGAATTAAACAGTCATTACATTACGTGTGTACTCGGTAATGCTCACAACACCCCAATTTGGGTAAAAATAGGAAAGATAATACTTTTCTCTAAAGAAACAGGATTCCCTGAATTATCGTCATTGATATCGTTATCGCAATAAATACCAGAAATGTTGTGATATATTTTTAAGCTCATATCTCGCAATTCTGATCTTATATCTCGCGATTCAAAATGAATATCTCGCGATTCTGAGGTTATATCTCGCGATTCTAAATTAATATCTTGCGATTGAGCTAATATCTTGCGATTCTAAATTAATATCTTGCGATTGAGCTAATATCTTGCGATTCTAAATTAATATCTTGCGATTGAGCTAATATCTTGCGATTCTAAATTAATATCTTGCGATTGAGCTTATATCTTGCGATTCTAAATTAATATCTCGCAATTCTGAGGTTATATCTCGCGATTCTAAATTAATATCTCGCTATTCTGAGGTTATATCTCATGATTTTAAGCTTATATCTCGCGATTCTAAATTAATATCTCGCAATTCTGAGGTTATATCTCGCGATTCTAAATTAATATCTCGCGATTCTGAGGTTATATCTCATGATTTTAAGCTTATATCTTGCGATTCTAAATTAATATCTCGCAATTCTGAGCTTATATCTCGCGATTCTAAATGAATATCTCGCAATTCTGAGGTTATATCTCATGATTTTAAGCTTATATCTCGCGATTCTAAATTAATATCTCGCGATTCTGAGCTTATATCTCGCGATTCAAAATGAATATCTCGCAATTCTGAGGTTATATCTCGTGATTCAAAATTAATATCTTGCGATTGAGCTAATATCTTGCGATTCTAAATTAATATCTCGCGATTCTGAGCTTATATCTCGCGATTCTAAATGAATATCTATCTCGCAATTCTAAATGAATATCTCGCGATTCTGAGCTTATATCTCACAATTCTGAGCTTATATCTTGCGATTCTAAATTTATATCTCACAAGTATATATCTTGCCATTCTGAGTTTAAATATCTCCTAAATCTGTATAATTATTTTTCCCCCTCAGAACTGAAAAAAAGTCTGAATTGTGATTTTAAAAAGTTGCAATTACCTTTTTATTTTTTTTATTCCATGGCGGAAATGGGCTTCCATAATCAGATGTAAAAGAAAGTCAATCATAACTAGACTAACTAAACAAGAGTCGGTTAATGTAATTTCACCCTCTCTGCAGGTGCTTACAGGTGCATTGACTGTTTCTGCTGACCATCTTATTTTCTGATAAGAATTAAAACACGTTTGGCTTGTGTGTGATCGACTGGACACTGATTTATAAGCAACGTAAGGGTTTACAAATACTTGAATTACGTAACGACACGACAGTGTTTACCTCCAGATACAGACACGCAGCAAACGACTCGTTCACGACGAGGTCTCCGTGCTTGAATGTTGGAACCTGCAAAAAAAAAAGAAAAAAAAAGTGCAACATTAAAACCAAAGTTTGGCAACTGTTCCGTCGCTGAATTAAAGCTGCATACACAGTAAACGCCCAATGCAATCATAAGAAATCATAAAGAGCAGGAGCATGCAATGCATCTGAACGCACCTGAACTCTGGGATTGAGAGCTTTCACTTCTGCACACTTGTGTTCGTTCTTGTCAAAAGACAAATGTTTGTGTTTGTATCCCTGCAGCTGCTTCTCCTCCAGCGCGATCATGACTCTCCAGCACGGCGGAGAACCCGAGCTCCAGTACAGCAGCATGCTCTGCGCCATGACCGCTAATAACGCGTTTAATTAAGAAAAAATGATGAACACTCTGCAGAACAGACCACAGATTCTGCTGCGTCACGCGCTTATAAGCGCTTTCACTGAGGGGCGGGGCCTCGCCATCTGCCGGCCTCAGATGGAACTGCGGCTCGTGTTTAAATAATCTCAATAGAGGAAATAATAATAATAATAATAACAATAATAAAGTAAAAAAAATAATACAATAAATGAAAAATAATTATTATATATAAATACACAAAATAATAATGAATAAAAACAAAATAAACAAAGAATAATTAAATAAAAAATTTATGAAATAAAATAATAATAATAAATAAACAAACAAAACAAAAAATAATGTTAAAATAAATGAAAAATAAAAATAAAATAAACAGAAATGCTGAAAAAGAAATTAAAATAAAATATAAAAAATAAAAACGCTTTAAAATGTTTTTATGTATTCAAGGGCCTGTTTAGTTTATCTATTAACTAAATATGATCAGACATGATCAGTTTATTTATTACTCTCTACAGGTGTCAGGATCCAATCAAACGCTGCCAGCTGTCTTATTTCAGAAAGGGTTTTATTGCAGGGTGTGACGCATGCAGAACAAAGTAAATAAAAAAATGAAATAATAATAATAATAATAATATAAAAATAATGCAATACTATAAATAAAAAATACATATAAATAAAATAAAAACAACAAATAACATTAAAAAAAAGAACAAAAAATGAAAAATAAAATAAACAAAAACACTGAACGGGAATGTAAATAAATACATAAATTAATAAGTAAATGGAAAAAAAACTATAAATAAAAATTGGAAAAACAATTGAACAAAACAAATAAAATAACAATAAATAAATTGAATTAAATAAAAAAAATACAGAAAATAAATAAAATAAAAAAGATTAAAATACCTGTATAGTTTTGTAATAGATCGATTACAAAACTATACAGGTATTCAAGGGCAGGCTTTAAGATGGTTTAGATCCTACCTGTCCGATCGCTACCACCTTGTTCATTTAAATGGGGAGTCATCTCAATTATCACCAGTAAAACATGGAGTGCCACAAGGATCTGTCCTAGGTCCTCTGCTATTTTCGATATACATGTTGCCCCTTGGTAATATTATTAGAAAATACGGGATTAGTTTCCACTGTTATGCTGATGATACTCAACTATATATCTCAACAAGACCAGATGAAACTTCTAAATTATCTAAGCTAACGGAGTGTGTTAAAAATGTAAAAGATTGGATGACCAATAATTTTCTCCTATTAAATTCGGATAAGACAGAGATATTACTTATTGGACCAAAAGACAGTACGCCGAATCTCGTGGATTACAATTTGCAACTAGACGGATGTACGGTTACTTCCTCTACAGTCAAAAATCTGGGTGTTATATTAGATAGCAACTTGTCTTTTGAAAATCATATTACCCATGTTACAAAAACAGCATTCTTCCATCTTAGAAACATTGCCAAGTTACGAAACATGATACCTGTGCATTCATGACCTCTAGACTGGACTACTGTAATGCACTGCTAGCTGGTTGTCCTGCATCTTCAATAAACAAGCTACAGGTACCCGTACATTAACTGAGTCAACACTGATAAGCTACCACTAAATATTGTAGAAACTTAATTTTTCTGTAAAGTTGCTTTGCAACTATTTGTATCGTAAAAAGCGCTGTACAAATAAACTTGAATTTAATTGAATAAAACAATAAAAGCATGCATTCATACAGACATGTTCTTATGTATTCAAAGGCCTGTTTAGTTGATCTATTAACTAAATATGCAGATCGTGTCAGAAACGCACAGATCCAGCTGTCTTATTTCAGAAAGGGGTTTATTGCAGGGTGTGACGCATGCAGAACAAAGTGAAAAACGTTACAGTACAAGGCCTTCAATTCTGCAAAATGAGTTCAGATTCCATGTGCTCAAGAAACGAACTAAACATTGCTGATGTTTCAGCAGGTACAAACAGACGAGTGGATCATGCAAGCTTCGTGTTCTGAAATAAAAGGCAAGTAAAAACCGAACACAATTCTCTGTTCAAACACTGTAATCCAGTTCTGCTGCTGGCGAGAGAAACGCCGAGCGTGGCGTTTATGGCTTCAGTGGTCTTCCTTAAATTAACATGTACAGAAAAAAAACATCTACAGAAATTACAAAAGAAAACAAAAGGGCATTAACATTTACAGTCTCGTTCATCGTCAAAAATACTTTCACCATGTTGTACATTTAGAATCAGAACGCATCTGATGTAGAGCTCATACAAATCTTATAAAGTCTTGTTTTCCCATATAATAATAATAATGGACGTTAAGCTGCAACAAAACCCTCAGACGATCGTGGAGGATGATGACAGACAGAACATAAAAGTAGGAGCATCCTAAAGGCCTCTGGGTTTCTGTTAAAAGATCTCAAAAACATGACTGAGTGAGTTACTGTAGTTCCTTCTGTGTCAAAGGCACATGGAAATCTGCTTTAAAACACTCACATCTCAAACAAAAGATGCTTATAGAAACCAGAGGACCAAAACAAGAAACATGTATACACGGCATTTAACCCTCACAATGCATTCAAAATCTGACACTATTTTCATATCCTAGGCCCGTTTGGACACGTAGAATCATTATTTTATAAAACAGTCATACCTTAATATTTTTTAACTAAAAACCATATTGTATCTCATCAGCAATTTCTCATGAATGCATGAATGTGGAAAAAAATTCAAAGTTTGCTATGCATGTTATTACTGCATTTAACCCTTTGTTATTCATTTAAAAATTGAGAAATTCTTTGTCATTTCAAATTACACATGGACCAGACCAAAAAAAACTAAGATGCAAAATATGTGTGTATTTTTTAAATATTGATTAGATATTTTATTGGAAAATATCATTGTATGAAATTTATTAAAAAATATATAATCTGTGAATTACCATTAACCCCTTTGGAATGAACAGAATTTAATTAAATTCCTTTGAATTTAAATCTCCTGAATAGTCCAAATGTATGAAAACCGACATATTTATTTCTAACACAACATAAATATTACTCTGAGAACTTTTAAAATGAAATAAATTCATTTTACTTTGCATAAACTTTCACTTTCGGATTTAAAATGGTCAGTTTTTCTTGCTGCAGTGGTCAATAGTCACACATATTCATGTTCACCAAAACAAAATTCAGTCCAGAAGTATGTGAGATGTGGGGAAAAGGCTAAAAATATTTTACTAATGTTTTTGGCACTAATATACCTTCATAGATTACTTTAAAGAAGGTATTTTTGACACCAATGGTTCTCCATACAAACCCGGGTCAAAAATGACCCGAACACGAAACGCGATATATCTCTGAAAGAAAAAAATTAACTATGTGTATTTTGAGGATCTTAAAGCATCTGCAAAGTTTGGATCCCTTACTAAAAACTATGCATTGTTTAGAAATTGTTCTGTATTTCTATTTCTTCTGGGTCAAAACAGACCTGAATGAATTACGAGGGTTAAAGATATAAAACTGAACTGCACAAAAATAAAATTTCACTAAGTCTGTGCGTGTTTTAAAGGTGTTTTACTGTCTGAAAACCACATCTAGGATTGTAGGATTTAAAAAATACACACATTTAATATCTGTTGAAAGTTGTCCCTCAATATTGTACATTTAACAATAAATAATCCAAAGTATCAGACCACAGTTTCACTGATCTGACCGACGCAAACATAAAGTGAACCAAGTGACCGGACATTTAAAGCCACATTTCACCGTTCCTCTATTTTTGATAGTTATAAATAGAAATAAAATTCTAATGAAACGACAGTCAAACCCTGAGATAAGTGTTCAGTCGGGGGAAAAACATCTTATTTTTACCTTTCATTGAACTAAACTGTAAAGGGATTTTACATCATCACAGTGACGGCCTGTGATTGGCTGGTGAGGCGTGTATGTAATGAGGGGGGCGTGGCTTAGAATCAAACACACAGTGTGTAGGCGGAGCTTTGCTGTATATATGACCAGTGAAAGATTCTGCAGCCGTTTCATTATTAAACCGTGTTTTTACAGATTTTCTGTTGACTTGAGATGAGTTCTACTGAAGGCAACAGCGTCAGTGTGCTTCGGACGGGACGTCCCATTACACCGGCATCTCTGATGTGTCCAATCCCAGCGCTTGAGCTTCTTCTGCGGTCAGACCGCCCTTCAGAGTCCTCCTCACTGAGACACAATGTTAGCATTAGTCTCTGCTTAACTCAAGAACACAAGAACAACTGTATCATTTTTCATATGTGAAATTATAAGGCTTCTAAATGATGAACATGATCAAAACTCACAATCTGCTCCATGCCTTCTGATTGATAGTTTAGAGTTTTTTATCCAGTAAAAGCTCTGTTAGTGTAATTGTACAAATGTCCAGCTTCAGCTGCTGCTTCTCGTGTCAAATCTTGACTGATTTTTATCAAGTAAACGTCAGAATAACTTATGAATCATAATTTTGTTCCTCTGTTGTGAACTGCTAAATGCATAAATGTGAATGTAAACGTTATATTGCTATAATCAAACTGTTCAATTCAAATAATGTTTTATTTTTGGTGTCAGATTATTGATTTAAAACTTAACATTTTGATGTTTTATTTGGATTATATATTTTTATATCCTAAGTGTTTAATTTTAACATTATTTTAATATTTTTATGATGTTATGTATTTTTATTTAGTTTTTGTCTTTTTTATTTAACATGCTTATTTTCATCTTTTATATTGTTAGTAATATTTCAAGATGAACACTAAATAATAAAAAAACACTGAAATTTAAATAAATTGTAAAAATGTAAAAATAAAATAAAGTTCTGTCTGTCTTGTTGTTTTGAAAATTCAATAAAATAAAAAAAATTATAAAATCATCAGACAAATAATTAATATAAATAAATTATTTGTGGGAAAAAAATCTGAATAAAACACTTAACATTTTTATGATTTTATTATTTTTAAGTATTTTTTATTTTATATTGTCTTTATTTTACCATTATTTATTTTAAATTTTACATGTTTACGATGTTTTATTTTATTCATTTTTTGTGTTTTTTATTTAACATGTTTGTGGTTTTATTTGTTTTTACTTATTTATGTATTATTTATTTAGATCATTTTATGTCAGTATCTGCTGCACTGTTATAAAGATCTCATTGATTTACATTACAAGCATCAGAATTTCATCATATATTATATAATAGCACTTGCATATCATTGCTCTTTTATTGATTTTGATTGCTTCCATTGTCCTCATTTGTAAGTTGCTTTGGATAAATGCATCTGCTAAATGACTAAATGTAAATGTAAATATAAATATCAACATCTGCACCAAATTGCTTGAGTCTCTGAATAAAACTGAGCTGTTTTTTTCCACCATATTCTCACTGTATCAGACTATATGAGCCATAAAAGCATGATGGATCAAACATGATTTCCTTTTATATTTTGTCTAAATGTTCAGTAAATGGTTACATTTGATAAAATTCAATTTTTCATTTAAAAAGTGAAGAGACAAACTCTGCAGCTGAACGTACGTGATTTGCGGTTCACGCGTGAGCGGCGGCGTTCGCGGGGTTGACCTCGTTCTCTGGGACTCTGAGTGGCTGATTGTACGATTCTCTCCATGATCTCGTCTGCAGCGTCGTCCGTTGCGCACTGAGACTCTTCGTTTGCTGCGGCCCATGCGGTGCGGCCTACAGAGAGACGCGAGGATGTTACACCGATTCACCTGAACGCGTTTCTACACATGAACACTGATCGTGTGTGTGTGTGTGTGCATGAGTGTGCACAGCTTAATGAGGAATAAAATATTAGAGAGTCCAGTCAGGTTTTAGAGCTGGCCATAGTACAGAGTCTGCTCTTTTGAAGGTTTCTAATGATTACCTACGAAGCAATGATTCTGGAAGCTGTGTTGGTTGTCTTACTTCTGTTAGATCTTACTGCGGCATTTGATACAGTTGATTATAATATTCTCATTCTCATTGATCATCTTAGGAACTAGGTTGGTATTCAGGGCTTAGCCGTAAAATGGTTCTCTTCTTATTTGAAAGATAGGTCCTTTTCAGTCAGTTTAGGGGATTATTCTTCTACTCTTGTGTGTGGGGTTCCTCAGGGTTCTATTTTGGGACCAATTTTATTTTCCCTTTATATGCTCCCTTCAGGTTCTATTTTTAAGAAATTTGGGATTCACTATCATTTGTATGCGGATGAAATGTATTTACCACTGAAACATGGGCATAAATGTGCCATTCAATCCCTATATGAATGTTTGACTGAGGTTTAGTGTTGGTTGGCAAATAACTGTGAGTGTGTGTTAGTGTGAGAGTGTGAGTGTGTGAGTGTTGTGTGTGTGAGTGTGAGTGTGAGTGTTGTGTGTGTGTGTG